GGGGACAGCCCAGGGCAGGGGGGACAGCCAGGGCAGGGGGGACAGCCCAGGGCAGGGGGGACAGCCAAGGGCAGGGGGGACAGCCAAGGGCAGGGGGGACAGCCCAGGGCAGCAGGGACAGCCAGGGCAGGGGGGACAGCCCAGGGCAGCAGGGACAGCCCAGGGCAGCGGGGCCGAGCTCGGGGACAGCCAGGGCTCACGGTGAGGCTGCCCTGCCCAGGTGAGCCCCGCGCTGCGGACGCCCCTCCTGCCCGTGTGGCTCTGCGGCGGCCCCGGCAGGTGCGGCGGCCCCGGCAGGATCGGCGTCCTCTTCGGCACCGACAGCCGCCTGCTCTCCCACTGGAGAGCCGAGCGCCTCTTCCACCTGTACTTCTACAGCGGGCAGCGGGAGCAGACCCGAACGGCCCGCCTGACGATAGGTACGGACCTGGGCTAACCGAGGGGAGGTGTGGGCGGCACAGACCACCGTCCTTCCCGTGCTTAGTACTCAAGACAAAGTTTAAGCACACCAGGAGGCAGGATTGTTTCATGATTAATTCTAAATTTAAATAACCCTCTCTCCAGCTGCTGTGTTTTTACCATGGCCAGTGACCAAGCCCCTCACAACCGCTCCTCGCTCCCCCACCAACGGGATGGGGGAGAGAATCAGGAGGGTAAAAGTGAGATAAAGACAGTTTAATAGAGAAAGCAAAGGCCATGCACACAAGCAAAGCAAAACAAGGAGCTCATTCACCCCTTTCCATGGGCAGGCAGGTGTTCAGCTCTAGGAGACCAGGGCCCTATCCTTCCGTAACAGTTACTTGGGAAGACAAACCCAAACATCCCCCCCCTTCCATCTTCTTCCCCTCACCGGTACTGAGCGTGATGTCACATTGTCCGGAACATCCCTTTGGTCAGTTTGTGCCCCCTCCCAACCTCCCATGCACCCCCAGTCTCCTTGCCAACATGGCCTTGACACTGTGCAAGCTCTGCTCAGCAAAACCAAAAACACCTCTACATTATCAATCCTGTGTTCAGCACAAATCCAAAACATAGTCCCATCCCAGCCACTGGGCAGACAGTTAAACCTACCCCAGACAAAGCCAGCATACCGACACAGTGAGGCTGGCACATGGGAGGTCACCTTCCTGCTTTCAGGAGCTGACTGAGGATGAAGTCTCTGTTTTCCTGCACAGCACCAGGTGCCACCGCAGCCCTTGTGTTTCCGCCCAGGTTCCACACCTCGCCCAGGAAGGGTGAACTGCTCCTGGAGCATCATTTGCTTGGTTGTGAGCCAAGCTTTGTGCTTGGGGTGCAAGATTCTTGTTTCTCTGCCACTGTGCACCACTTACCTTCCTCAGTGAATGCCTTCCTCGTTCTCCTTTCACTGCAGCAGTTAAAGTGAAGTCAGAATCTTGGAACTAAAGGGTGAATCTGCACGGAAAGGTGAATCGAGATTCACCACCATGAAATCCAGCATGGCAGCAGATATCTGTGCATCTGCTCAGAAAACCAACATGCAAACTGCACCCTCAGAATTTCCCGGGGGGCCACCATGGCTCCAGGGCAGCCTCCAGCCTGGGAGGCCCTGCCAGCGCTCCCCCAGCTCCCTGGGGCAGGGCAGCAGCACATCTGCACCAATGCGGCTGCAGAACCTGCTACTTTTAACCTTTGCTGAAACCTTTTTGACAGGGCTTGGGGTTTTTTAGACTTCTTTTTTTAACAGCATTTCCTCTTCAGACACTCACTCGCATCACTGGGAAGAGGCCCCAAGTGAAGATGCCTGCAGCCCAGGGAAGAGGCGTCCAGCCCTGGAGATGGCAATCAGGACCAAGTGGGCAGGTGCGACCGTCAGCTGGAATGGGACAGGCCCCTTCTCCTGAGGAGCAGGAGGGACCCCTGCTCCTGAAGAGTGCTGGCATCCCCCATGCACTGCCAGCTCCACCAGTCACTGCGGCACAGAGAACAAAAACACCTTCCCCAGTCAAACAGGCCTTGGTGCACTGAGGGGACACCTCTTCCCACCTGTTCCCAAGGCATTGCACCCACGGCGAAAGCCTGCGCAGGTGAGGAACAGTCACCAGCAACGCTGCCCCACCACACTCCTTTTCCAGGGGGTAGGATGCTGCTTCCCACGACAGCTGGCAGGAAAAGGAAAGAGTCAACCCCTGGCACAGCTGCCCAGGGCAGTGGTGCATCATTCTGGCATTTGTGATTCAGTGACTTTCCTGCCATGACAAATCCTGGCACCCTGCATCAGCCTGGCAAGCACGGGCAGGGCACAGAACTTCTCATTCACAGTAACCACTGTCCACTTCCTTCTTCATTGCCATCACTCAAAGAAGACCTATTAGTCACACCCAGAATGCTAATGTACAGTTGCTAAAGACAACTGTACTGAGAACAATAAACCTGCTGCAAGTAATCCAGAAGCTTGATTCAAATTAATTCAATTTTCCAATTAAAAAAAAACCAAGTGGGGACATCCAGCCTGAGATTCTGTCAGGCCAGGATAAGGAGCTGCCGGTTACAGCTGATGTGGGATCTGCACCTGCTGTTGTCCCCTTCTTGAGTTTCTGCTCAGTTCAGGACGCCCCTGAGCACGTGGTCTCCCTCCTGCAGAGCTGTGGCTCAGCCCCAGTGGTGTGGTCCCCTGGCACCTGCAGCCCCAGTGACACCGGGAGAGGGGCCCCAGGGCTGCCAGGGCTGCCCCAGCCCCTCACCCTCTGTGCCCACACTGGCGGCTCTGGACACCGGCACAGGCTGGGGAACGGGGAGTCAGGAGCAGGGCCCCCAACCCCTTCGGCCATGCCATAGCCCCCAGACACCTGTCTCCCACCCCAGCCCTGCTCCCCACCCCCTCACAAACCCAGTGTGATTGTGAAAGGCAGAAAAAGGAAGAGAAACCCAGCTAACCCCAGCTGCACTGGCTGTGGCAGCACACGCCCTCGCCACCTCCCTTGGGCTCCCACATCTTCATAGCCTTTTAGAACCTTCCAGCCGTGCAGGGCTACATTTCAGCCGCTCATTTCCCTCCATCAGAGCTGAGCCCTTGCTCATTCCAGCCAGGTCACATCACACTTAGCAATGCTTTAGGAATAAGCAGTAATAAAGACACAGTCTGGGTGTTAGTCACATTTCTCCGAAAACTCCCCCAGCTCCGGCACCTCAGGAAGTGCTGTACTGGTGACAACAGCTACAGTCTTTCACTTCTACTCTGGAAATTCTCTGCAGAAGACGAATAAACCTTGCAAACCCCCACACATCCCACAGGTGCTCAGGGGTGCTCTCATGCCCTGAAATACTTGGGGGGACAGCACACGCACACATGCACAGCACACACATGCACAGCACACACACACAAACACAGAGCACA